GAGTGGTACAACATCATTTCTAGTCCTACATTCATTGATGCACACCTCCTAAAGGTGGACAGGGGCATGCTTATCAAGCAAATTCTTCCAGATTGCAATATACATTATGTCAAAATGGTGAAGAATGATCTTCCTGAGATCATTGAGGTAGACTCTTCTCATTTGCCAAAATATGGTATGAGCAGTTGTAATGGTTTGGTCTCGATGGCTAAAAGTCAAGATGGAAATCGCTATGTTGCAAATTTAGTTACAAAGGAAGTGACCCTTCCAACTCCTCCAGCTGCAGACAGTGCAAGCGCAACTTCAAGTTTCGGGGGGGGGGGGGGGTATGGGGTATACTCGTTCAAAGAAATATAAACTGGTTTCGTTCTACCTTAATCAGAGGAAATTGGAAGGTGGGATACTAACGCTTGGTGTTGATAGAGAATGGAGGTGCCTTTGCCTACGGAATGAGACTAGGGAAATTGACAATTTTGGATTTGACTTGCTTTTCAACAAGCCAATTGCTAGTGCAGAAGGAATTTTGCATTGGACACATTATAAGTTTCCTTTGGTTCTTAATTTAGATCTTGAAACTGAGACTTTCTACACGCGTGCTGCCCCAAAATGTCCCGAGAGGAAAAGGAGGACTTATATTGGAACTGGGCAGTCACTTTGTTTCATGGATTACTTGGGGAGGTTTTCATGGGAGCTCTGGTTGCTAAAAGATGCAGAAGCTGGTGAATGGACTAAGTTGGCCATTATTGATCTAGGACCTCAGGAGCAAATGCTTCGGCGCACTTTATGTCCAGCAGGATTTCGAATTGTGCCTGTTGGTTTTTTGAAAGATGGGGAAATTGCTGTCCTCTATGTCGCACACGAAGATGGGATTCCACATGGAAGTTACTACTACCATCATAAGACACATCCATCAAGAAATTGCATTACGTATAATATGAAGACAGGAGTCATCAACTCATTTCACTTGGATAAGGGTAGGACTTTGGAAATGAGTAAGAGTTGGAGGTATATTCCGCATGTCAAGAGCTTGGTTTCTCTAAAATTTTCAGCTAATTAGTTGCTTCTTTTTGTGTTCCCAAAAAAAAGGGGAAATTAGTATGAGATGGAGGAAGAGGGATAGAAGATTGCTTGGAATTAAAATAGGATCATTGTTGTGAGATGAGTCTTTCTTTCCTCCTTAATTTATTAATGTAGTGATCATGACGGATAGGATTAATTTGGGTGTAATTTTTGGTTTCACTCTTGCATTATTTTCTGAGCGTAGGAGTATTGATATTTTCTGTTGGTATTCATAACTTTCTATTACTTATCAAAGTAGTTGCTACGTTTGGAAAATCTTGCTTTACAGCCACAAAAGTTTTGATTTTCAATGTCATTGCCTTCATTTATTCACTATAAAAATTCCCTCTTTCTTGGGTGGCTCGCTTTTCCATGATGATCGTATCTAGCTTGACATATGTACAGTTCAGTTCACCCAGCCATCGGATGTTCCTCGAACTTGACTTGTGTAGTTTTGGATGTCAGACCGTATTTAGCTGCTATGTGTAGTTTTGGATGTGAGACTGTATTTAGCTGTTAAAAAAACGGGGCATAAAAGCCTGCGTTTTCAAGCCATAAGTTGAATATTTACTCTTGGGGTTGACAAAGAATGGAGACGTATTTTTCAAATGAATGACACTTGGAGGTTTAAGGAATTTGGAGCCTTTATTTTTATATTTGAAAAGCCAATAGCTACCGGAGGGTTTCTGCTTTGGACACATGACATGCTTCCTTTGATTCTGAATTTAGATCTTGAAACCGAGACTTTATGCATGTGTACGGCCCCAGAATGTGCAGAAATGAAATACAGGAGATACTTAGGAATTGGGAGTACGCTTCGTATAATGGATCGCTTGGGGAAGTTTCTGTGGGGGCTCTGCGTGCTAAAAGATGCCGAAACTGGAGAATGGACCAAGCTGGCCTCTTTGGATCTGAGACCTCAAGAGCAAATGCTTCGGTCCAGTTTATGTCCGCCAGGGTTTCAACTTTTGCCTGTCGGTTGGTTAAAAGATGGACAGATTGCTATCCTCTGCGTTGAATATGAAGATGGGATTGAACGTCAAGTTGGTTACCATGAGCAGACACATCCAACGGGAACTTGCATTACGTATAATTTTGCTACAGGAGCCGTTAACTCATTTCAACTGCGTAAGGGTAGACCTGACGATATGCATCAGAGTACCAAATATATTCCTTATGTGAAGAGCCTGGTTTCTCCGAGATTTGCAGCTACTTAGTTAATTCTCCTTATATTCTGCAAAACTTGGGATGAGAAAGACATGGAAAATGGATGTTGTTGGAATTGGATCATTGGTGTTAGGTGACGTCTTATTTTTGGCTTGATTTATTTAACTTTTGAAGAATTAATAAGTTACTGAAATGTTAAAATCAATCTACATACTGTCTTGCAATAATAAAGGAGTATTTGATGCTTTCTTTTGCTTGCATAGAAATTTACCTTTCGAATAGCAACTGGAAAAGGACACTAAGCATAGAAATTTACCTTTTCCAATAGCAACTGGAAAAGAACACTCCAGAGAGGATGATAATAGCTTTCTTTAGCTAAGCCACATAAGTCACAAGCACATACCATTCAACAATTATGACCGGGCAAAATAATTTGCAGTAATCCCAAGGCGAGCAAAACATAACCGAAAGACCTTTTAAATGATAACTTCAAGCATCATTCTCTCAATCTGTGATAGTGATCAACGAAGTCTGTGTATTTCAGAAAGCAAGGAACAGCAAAATTGTGGTCATCATAGGGAAAAAAAAAAAAAAATCTAAAAGAAGCTTTATGAAGTAGTAAATTCCATGCCAGGTCCAGAAGCAAGCGACGTTAGTCATCATTTTACCTGTTTTGCTTCCTGCGAAAACAAAAAGCAAGAATCACGCCTGTTTGGAATAAAGTTTATACAGTATGATATTGAAAATTCTTTGGGGGAACAAAATAGCAACATTGTTGTTGGTGAAGGATTCATTTGTTTTTGGCTTGTACGTGCTGATGAAAGATCTAAGCTACATAGCCACCCCATTTTTTCTCATTACATCAAATAACATAAACATATAGGCACATTCTACGTCTGTGCCACTAAAAAAGAAAAAAAAAATCATTGTTTGACTAAACTGGAATTAAATAATTTTAAGTAACACCATGAAGTTTTAAAGCTTTCTTTTCTTAGGAGGCAGTTTAAACATGAGGATGCACAATTTAGAGTCCAAATTCTCCAGAAACTTCTTACAATCTGTGTTAATATGCTGCCTTCAATCATTTGGTAGAATCAGTTGCTAGGCCATGGCCATAGACTTAGAATGGAGCAATATCATGCCACCAGCTAGTAAAAAGCAGTCTTTCTTACCTAGTCCTAGCTTAATACACTATCAAATACTGTTTGGAATTAAATCCAACTATAAGTGATTCATGTCTTACTACCATTCAAATAAAGGTATTTTATGTTGCGGTATTTAGATGTCTGAAGTGAAAGATGTGCATTTCGAAGTTGGAGATAGACATGCAACTTATTGTTATGGAAACAAACAATGGTACATTTTTGAGTGATATTCGTGCATACCTTTATTGCTCTGGAATTTGTCTTTGCTCAGCCTGGAGTAGAGAATTTGTTAGAATAAAGAAAAGTGAGTGTCTAGAGTGGGGAATTTGTTGTCAAGAATAAAGAAAAGTAAGTAAACAATATGGACAAAAAAGAGCAACAGAAAACCATGTACCTGAATTGAGTCTCTCACCCGTTCAAGTGCATCGATTTCCCACCTAAGCTTCTCAACTTGCCTCAAAGCCCTACAACACCAAAATTAGTAACATGCCACATTTATTTTTATGTGTCTCAGTGTCCTTTACAACTTTGCAAAAAAAAAAAAAGGGAGAAACTATTACTCTGCATTTAGGCGTCTCCCCCCTGTAAGAGATAGATCCTGTCGTTATTGTTTGTAAAACAAGAGGTGTTTACAATCCTCCTAACTTCTTTATTGAAATCAACATGCCTTAGCTTTGTTTGGGTGACACCAAAACCAGTTTTGAATCCACGAGCCACCTTCTTTGCCAGCTCTGATAGACTTAGAGGGCAAGAAGGAGTTGGAAATTCTTAAAGGACAAATTGGGAAACCAAAGACTCCAGAAGCAGGCGACCATAAACAGATTTACGGTCAGTGTCCACAAGGACGTCTTGAATAAGTTTCTTCAACAACCTCTCTAGAACCAGTTTTGATGTAGTTATTTTGTTGGTAATGTTTGAGCATTAGTCGAACACTTATAGTGAGTATAAGTATCCAACAACTCCTTTGTCTCACCCCCCGTCTCATTTCATATCCTTCCCTTAGACTAATAAGTGTCCGTACTAATATAACTCACTCTAACTGAAGATAAACAAGAAAACAAAAAAAAAGGATAAACAAAACCTTAGTTTGTTCATATAAAAAGATAAACAAAAAAAAATTCCTCACTAATCCAAGGAAACAAGGTAACAAAATTAATTCACTGCAAGAAAATTGGTCTTCAATGAAAACATGTTCTCGTCACAGAATAGAAACAAGTTATCAGAAATAAATTATTAACCAGATCTAAGTCGTCACTAGGTCATCAGTATATATCCATCGGTAAAAGTCAACAGTGACGAGTTAAAAAGTCGTCAGTGATATACCATTTTCAGTGACGATAGTGGAGTTGCAGTTTTATTGACGACCTTGCTATGTTGTCAGAAATACTTGGACAGGGTAACAGTAGATTGTTGTCTGTTATATTACCAAATTAGTGACAACATTTTTCATCACTATTAAGTTTTCAGTCAGTGACGAAATTTTATTATCACAGAGGAGTTTCTCTTGTCACCTTCTTGTTCTGTGACAACTTCATTTTGTCAATAGAGATATTTGATTTTGTCAATCGCTAATAAATACACAATTTTGCAGTTGGAATCACTCACATAAAATAAGTAGAAATACTAAACTTGGACACTTAAACAAGCAAAACCGATTACAACATTACAAATTCCTTGGCAAAATATCATTTTTAGTACACAAATGTCAAATTCAAGGTTTACATCACGATCCAAATATGGCATCTAAACAATGTAACTTTACAAAAAGAAGTTCAGTCCAAAAAACAAGAAAAGTCCTAAAGTGAAGCACGGCATGAGCAAAAGCTACTAGCCTCTCCAATGTCTTCCAGTCAAAGCCATATTCTCTAATATTCATCAGCCCAGTCATAATTCATGATCATCCAAAAACAGCAATTCAATGGACAAATCTGCAATAAATTAGCAAAGCAAGTAGGATATAAGAAGATGAGCAAAACAGTAAAGAAGATGCAAACTTAGACTCAAAGAATGGAGTACATTAACAACCCAATATAGCTAACGTTTCTGGGGAAAAAGAAAAAACCCAATATAGCTAAGGACCTAACAACAAGCCCCGACAGAAAACTCTAACTAAGTTTCAAAACATTGCTTCTCCTATTAGTCCTATCAATTATGTGTAATGGGATGTAGAAAATTGAACTCCAATTTTAAGGCAATTAATCACGAAATTAGAACCATTTTGAGCCTTTAGTCAATTGGCATTCACATAAACTATTATGTTGGAACTTAGTTGTAATTATGAAATCTTGATTTCAAAAGAATTTGTTGCAACGTAAATAAAGGATTCAAAATTCTACTACTAATGTAGAAGGATTACTGAGATAACAAACACATACACGGATTAAACATGTAGATATAAATGTTTAAAAAGTACCTTTAACAACCATGGCTAATATATTAGTACAAAATTTCATTTTTTTTTTGGGGCAGTCCATAAATGATGTGCTATGTGGAGTAATATTTCTGGGTACTCGACTGTATAAGCAAGCGATGAACCAAGGGAAGACCAATGCAAATTCAACTGCATTAGTGCTACTGAATACTAGAAATATTGCTGGCTATAAGCCTGTTGAGGAAATGGTGGAACCAAACACTGAATCAACATGGGGAAACCAGTTTGGATTTTTGCATGTTTCGGTGCCAAGGTTTACCAAAAAGGATTCCTCAAATCCCCTCAATTTTGTCTTTAAAGCCCAGAAAACCATCAAAAGTAAAAGAGATTCTGCAGCCGTTTATCTAACTGGTCAGTTGCTAGAGACGCAGCGGAGACACAGGGGCTACAAATTCAAAAGATGCAGAAGCAACAGCCTGAAACTACTATCTATTATGTCACTCCCCCACTATCCTTAACAAATCAAATCCAATCCCCATTCAAGCTTCAATCAACAGAGGTGCATTATGAAGTAAGCCCATTAAGAATCTAACATGACAAAGAAAATAGCTGGAAGCAAAAAAAACTCCAATAGCAGCACAAGCCAAAAAAAAGTACAACTGGATTATAATCTCACTGGAGTTTAAGGTTGTCCGTGGCATTGTAACCAAAATAGATGTAAAAGAATGCAACTATCAAAGAGCAAGATGCTTTACCATCAAAGATTGTCCAATGAACTTCATTGCCCTACTTCCTAGATTGCAATTTGGCTCTTAAAGCCTTAAGGAGATCCTGCATTTCAGTTTGCTGGTTTTGATTTCAGTTTGTTGGAGCTCAAGCCTTTGCATAAGTTGTTGTTGAGATTGAACTTGAATTTCCAACTCAACTGAGCGTTTCTCAGCTTGTTCTGCTCTCTTCTTGAACTCTTGAATCTCTGCAATCTTCTGTACTATTAAGCTAGCTTTGGAGGGGCCATGACCACGCACATATCCAGTTATGTGCCCAGTAACTTCAATGCATATGTCTTCCTCAGTCCTACTTGCACCACTAGCTTGAGATTCCAACTACATCTCTTTCATCTTCCTCTACAAAAATAGATTTTCAAAGCTAATATATGAATAGGAGATCTGAAATAATGAGAGTGAAGTTGAGATTAGCATTTTTCTTACTGAGTTTTTAGCTGATATGTCATCAACCATAGCATTCTTCTTCCCGCTAAAGTGCGTCATGTGACAAAGCTCTATTGGTCCAACTATCCTTCCCTCTTTTACTTCCTGTTTGCATAAGTAGTTAATAAACCCAACAGCTCACCCTAAAACACATGTTTAGCATATTTACTTACCCTATCGGCCTTATGACGGAGAAAAGATTTTGTCCCAGCTGTGTGAGCAGGTTTTTGCTTGGATCTATTCGTCTTATTTCACTCACTTATTGCCTGCATTCGTGAATTCTAGCTCTGATCAGTATACCAAAGACATGGATTATTGGAAATTATCAAATATATATGGCACATACCTTAAATTCTGAACTATAAAAGTAGTCACATAGGTAAATCCAGTCAGATTCTTCCACATATGGTGGACGGTTTGCAAGAGCTTCCCTCTTTTGTCTCGAATGTCCTAAAAATCATGTGAAAAGTATATCGTCGACTTCGGTGTTGCGAATTGAACTGCTTAACCAAAGCTTGTTTGACATGATCTCCTTCATCATGAGTAAAGCTATTCTGCACAATAATAGAATTTAGATCACAACCAGATAAAAACAGAAAAATGGCTAACTTAATTTGCTAACCAGTTAAATAGAAAAATAACCAAAGGACATGTCAACTTACATTAGCAATTTTCAGCATTTGTTCTCTATCTTCTTTAGAGAGTCGAGACCATTTGGGGCCTTTCCATTTGCCATATTTCTGAATCACACAACTTGCTTCTGAAATGTATCATTAAGCACCTTCTCCAATGAATCTTTCACTCATTTCTGAAACTTGAACATGCACCTTTTGCCCAGCCTTCTTTATATTTGACAATGCAATGTTACGAGTAAATACCCTTTTACTCTGCGCATTCACTTGGTCTAACAATCGCAAAGTAAATAACGCTTTATAGCACTAGACTCAAAAAGCTTACATCATTTATTTAATATGTAGCACAATTTTGGACAGATTTAACATACCATTTCCATTTGAATCAAGATCCCTGCTATTTCCAGTTTCATTACTTTCGTAACCAATGGACTGATTGGATCCAACATTTTGTGAGGAAGGAGTACTATCAGTTTGCATCCCAATAGATGTGGGTAATGCCATCCCATTAGCTAAAGTTTTTGTAGCGGTCTCCTTACCATCAGCTTGGATATTTGCACATCTTCTTCCATTTTTCGTACCATTCGATGCTTCAGGAACCTATAATACAATGAGTTATTCACTGTTTAATCAAATAGTCAGCCAAAAGTTCAGTCACTATATGTATGTTTAACCAAGTCAGATATTTAACATACAAGGAGTTACCTCAGGCTCATCAAATAAACGGATCCAAGAAGATCTTTTTGGTATGTTTAGACCATTGACATTGCTTGTATTTGTAGATACACTATGTTGAAGTGCAACTTGCTACAGCCACAGAAAAATTTGGTTTATGAAATTGTAAACTGCTCATGATGAAAAGTACACTTGGTTTGGCAAATTTCATTACTTGGGTGCTTGTATTAGCTTCAGATTGCAATGCTCCAGCCTGATCATCGGACTGTCGAATTGGTCATACAAGAGATTTTCCCTTTTTTTCCCGGCCCAGCCATCTACCTACACAATTACACAATTCAAACAGCCCAAAAGCTAGAGTTATATCATGTTAGATTAGAACCAAATTATATTCATTTACACAACTACATATTTCAGCCATGACACTACAAAGCAAAAAACATTCACAAAAAAGTTATAAACCCATAAACAACAAACTACAATAAAAAGGTAATCCAGAATATTAGATTACAAAATTATTTAATCAGATTCATAGTCATCACTATCAAGAATTTTTTCATTTTCATCCTCAGGACTTGAACACTGCTCAATTTCATCATTATCAATAAAAATGTCGTCCATCAGCCTAGCATGCCTAGAAGTCGATTCACAGACAGCAGCTTCAATCATTACTTCAGCTAGTAGATCTCCTCTTCTTCAGCTGGCCAATTCGATGTTTTCTTGTACACCACATAGATCTTCACGATACTCCTCTTGATAAGCCTCTTCACTGTCCTGAGAATCATTTTCATGTTTCTCAAGAACATCATAGGATGAACGGGGACTCGCTGTCTCTACAACATGCCAATTAGCTCCAAACTTCAAGTCCTTAACATAAAACACTTGTTCAGCTTGGGAGCCTAATACATACAGCTGGCCCAGATACCATGTTCTTGACATATTGATGCTAGTAATGTTACATTGTTTGTCTAATTTGATTCCGAAACTATTTCTTAAGTCTCACCAATCACATTTAAACAAAATTACTCAATTTTGAGTAAATGAGTATTCAACTTCTACTATATCAGTAATTACGCCATAGAAGTTTATCTCGTTATTAACATGATCCCTCTTGACCATAATGCCATTGTTCTACATTTATTTTTCTCTTTCACGGGCTTTGGTATGAAACCTAAACCCATTGACATTACAACCAGCAAATGTATGCACCCGAAAATCAGGTCCTTTAGCCAATGACAAGAATTCATCACTATATCTCCCACGTGTATGCATATAGGTTACCTAGCCAACCAATTAAGAAGTTTTAATATTTAGTTCAACTATGAATTAATTGAAAGTCATAAGTTTCAAGATGTATATTGTATACTTATACGCTCTTCAAACCATTTTGGAAACTCTAAGTCTTGCTGTTGCTGAACATTTCCTACATTCTGCTTTTCAAGATATTCTCTATGCTACCGATTCAACAGTAGCTCACTTATGTACATGCTATAACTATGTTTTGAATAAGACAAATAAAACACTAATTGTACTAAGTCTAAGAGATTTAGTATCAAAGTATACTTTTACCTCATATAATCATCTACTTCTTCACAATTCTTCAAGATAAATAGGCGTATTTTCAGCAAATCGGACTCACTAAAGTAGCTATATGTTGCTGCCCCAAAAGGCCGAGCCATGACAGAAAACAAAGATAATTTTCCAATACCTTCAAACCTTTCTGCATTTCGTTCCCTTCGATTAAATTTGGTGGGAACGTTGTGCAAATACCTAGAAATGAATATAAGACATTCATCATCCAAGTACCGCTCTGCAATACAGCCTTCCGGCCTAGCCCTATTACGAACATAGGACTTGTATTGGCCCATTTTTCTATTAGAAAATCCAGTCGAAGTTGTTAACAATTAAGAGATTTAAGGAAGTGGGAACATATAGTGTTAAATATTACAGGGAATAATACCTCTCAAATGGAAACATCCATCGGTATTGTGTTGGTCCAGCAATCTTAGTTTCAACAGGTAAATGGACCATTAAATGCACCATGACATCAAAGAAATTCAGAGGGAAAATTTTTTCCATTAGAACAATATTTTTCCCTTGCATTTCTAACTCATCTAAGTACAGAGTTCTGGAACAAATTTTTCTAAAAAAATTGCTGATCTCCACTAAAACTTGGGATACATCTTTTGGCAACATTCCTCTAATTGCTAGAGGAAGAAGCCGTTGTAAAAACACATGACAGTCAAGGCTTTTCATCCCTAAAAGTTGACACTCAACTATCTTAACACATCGGGGTGTATTTGAGGCAAAGCCATCCGGAAACTTGATAGAGCTCAGAAATTGGCAAAAAAAAATTTTCTCTACACGTGATAAAGTGTAACATACTGGTGGCATAACTTTAGGAGTACCCCCTCTAGGTTGTAGATGCAATTCTTCTCTCAATCCCAACTCTTTCAAATCCTCCCTAGCCTGCCAAGTGTCCCTAGTTTTTGAAGGGATACTCATTAATGTATTCACAATATACATAATGTCTGAATTGTGTCTTATTTTGTTGGTACTCCAATATATGGAAGTTCAAAGAATATGTTCTTCTTCTTCCAGTTTGAAGTGCTTTGCACGCGTTTTCCCTTCTTCTGTTGAAGCAAATCATGAGTGTTGCCAAACTCAGCGTGGTCAATACCAAGCAGTTTTTTGAGGATTTCTTCACCGGACAGAGTCATAGGAGGTTGCCTAAGTTCTCACTCTCCATTAAATGGCTTCTTTTCTTGACACCATTTATGATCATTAGGCAAAAAACGACGATGTCCCATGTAACACAATTTGTGACCGTTACTCAAATATAAACTACTAGTCTCATCTAAACACATAGGACATGCTTTGTACCCCTTTGTACTCCACCCTGACAAATAGCCATAGGCTAGAAAATCATTTATTGTCCACAAAAGCGCTGCATGTAGTATGAACTTCTCTCCCGTGAAGGCATCATATGTCCCCACACCAGTGAAAAAAAAGTCTTTCAACTCATCAACTAATGGTCTAAAGAATACATGAATATCATTTTTCGGGGCTTTAGGACCAAGAATAATCATGGTTAATAGAAGAAAAAAAGGATCTTTCAAGTATTTCCAGAGTGGCAAATTATAAGGAACGAGGATTATAGGCCATATGCTGTATGAATTATTCATGTTTCCAAATGGATTAAACGCATCACTTGCAAGCCCAAGTCTCACATTTCGAGGATCTTCCGCAAAAGACTTATGATTTTTATCAAAATCTTTCCAAGCTAATGAATCTGCAGGGTGTCTCATCATGTTGTCACTGTCTACTCACCTCTCCTTGTGCCACCTCATATCACGAGCAATCTCCTTGTTTATAAAGAGTCTTTGCAAGCACAACACCTTTCTAGGAACCTTAGAATTTGGAGATTTGTACCGAGGTGCTTTACATTTTTCATTCAGGTGATGATCTAAGCCTTCATTTTCTTTTCGATAAAGTACACAATCATTTTCACAAGCATGGATTTTTTCACATTTGAGCCCTAACTCACAGATGAAATTTTTTGCCTCATAATACGAACTAAGAATTGATGCCATGGAAAATACACTACTCAAGAATTTGAATAGCATATCAACAGAATTACAAGTCCAGTGATTCATTGTCTTTAGGTGGAGGATATGGACAACAAAGGACAATTTTGAGTACTTTTCACAACCTGGATATAGACTTTTTTCAGTTTTAGATAATAATCTAAGGAACCTACTTGCTTCTCCTTCTTCCTTACCACAAGAATCCTTATCATGTTCTGCCCCATGTCTCCAATTCTCCCCAAAGTTAGTAACTCCTACGTCATTTAACAGCTCCTCAATATCATCAGGGTCACTATCTTCCTCATTTGTATCTATATCATTCTCCTTATCATCACATTCAAAACTTTCACTATGATATATCCACCTAGTATAACTATCCACTATTCCTTCACACAGGCGGTCGGCCATGACTTTCAATGTCTGGTCATCAAAGTTATTACATATTTTGCAAGGACATGGGAGTCTAAAATTGGGATCCTTGCCTAGAAAAGCAAACTTAAGAAATTCATCTACTTCGTCTAAATATTTGGGGTCTAGGTAGTTCTTAATTGATATCCAGCTGTTATCCATCTTTTTTGCTGCCATTTATCCTAACAAAAAGAATACATCCATAATATTATTTTGAAAATAGAAGTTCTATGTATGCAAAATTAAATTGCCCAAACAACAGCCATGGAAGTCCAATAAAGTAAAAACACATTTTCACCGAAGTCAAGCATTTCAGTAACAAATCTCCCATAGCAACAATGGAAATCCAACAAAATAAAAACGCATTTCACCAAAGTCACACATGTCATCTACAAATCTCCCATACATAAAAGCACATAAGTGTACGAGCACTTACAAGTCCTATAATTGCAGCATACTCACAAATAAAGTAGCACATATATTTACCAGTAAGAAAAAGTGCAGCTTGAGCTTAGAATGATCTTAAGATTCTGCAGTGAATCCCAAGCTTATGTGAAAGTGTTTTGAATGCTGCAAACAGTGAGAAATGAGTGAGATATGAGTATTTGGAGGAGAAAATACATAGTACATGCACTCTAAGTCCATTTCTTGTAACTAGAGAACATTTCTTCTGTTATTCCTTCACCAAAGTGACTAAACAAGTAAGGATCAGCAAGATATTATTCCAATGGATCTCACTTCTCAGTATCCTCAAGACAATCAACCATAAAAGATTCTTACTATTGCAGGTGATGGTGCCTATTGTCTTACCTTATCAAAATTTCTTAATACTTGTTTTACCCTATCAAAATTTTTATGTCAACGCAAATGTTTCTTGCTCAATATCTTCTAAACCAATTGAGCAACAATAGAATGGTATGGATTGATCCTGGAAATACAGGATTATAACCTCAAATCCTGAGTTGGTCCAATGATACTGGACCATAGATTACACTCGTACCTAAAAATGTTTAAATTAACTTATTAATAACCTATTATCCAATATATTATTCAGCAATCAATATTTTCATATTTCTCGACATGGATGTTAGAAAGCGACAAGATGGGATTGTATTATATTGGGTATGGACTGACCGAATGATATTATTTTATCTTGGATCAAGTTAAAAGGATAAAGGATAACAAATAGAGTCCAAACTCCTGACTTGCTGATGCTTCCCCCAGCTAAAAAGTGGAAAATGACAAAGTAACTTAGACCTTCATAAAACTGCTACCCAATTTCTAAGCTCTTGATTTTAATCAATCTTGACTGGATATGACCTGTGTTCTAAACATCTATTCTTTTTTATCTTTGCTACAGTAGTGTACAAAATTAAGAATTTGTGACTACTAATCCAATCCTAGCTACTAGTTTCTACTTGTAATTTGAGTATTTAAAAGTATAACTCTTGTAGTTACGATTTTGACAACTTCGATGACTAGTTTATAAATTGTTACAAGAATATGAACTTCGTAAGATAAAACTCAATTAAAACTAAATTTGACTTGTAGAACTCTAAAATTTGGGGAATCAAGAAATTATTCGTGTAAACAACCATATAAAAGTGATTGCACCCAAAATTAAAAGATTCAGAAAGAATTTGGACACAAATTTCTAAAAAATAAGAAATGCAAGAGTAGGGCAAAATATTTGTAAAACAAGTTTGGAAGAAATAGGGGGGAAAGAGAGAGAGAAGAACCAAGCCACGGTGTGAGTCTGAGTAAGCTGCTAAGAGAGTGAGCTACCGAGAGAGTGAGCTAGATTTGTTGTTTCGGGTAGAGAGAGTTCAGAGAATGAGCTGAGAGGTTTTGAGGCAAAGAGAGGTTGGTTTTTGTCCGCCACTTCTACTTTGCCTTGTTTTGAACAAAAATTTGCTTTTGCTTTGTCCGCCACTTCTGCACAAAAATTTTATGAAACTTTTTTTTGTTTTAATTTTGTTTTAAGTATAGATTCTACTCATACAATATTATTCATTTATTGTTTTGACAAAAAAATTAATATTTTTTTTTATCATAATGGCAATATAGTTTCACTAAAATATATTAAAAAAATATGAAAAAACGAATTTTATAATGACAACAATGTGTTGTCACTGATTGTAGTCTCCTGCTTTCCAATTGTTTGTTTGTGGGAATATACTTGTGACGACATATCAAAGCCGTCACTGACTAGTTGGCTCAGTCAGGCAATTGTGATGAGGTGAGATGTCATGAGTAAAGTCTTACCTTCTATGATGACTATCTGTTGTCATTGAAAAAAGTCGTCGAAGACTAATTTTCTTGTAGTAAAGATAAACAAAAAATCAACTGGGGTTGGGCCAAGTGGTAAGCAGCTTGGTTCCGCTTAAGCAGGTCTCGGGTTCGAAACCTGGCGTATGCAGCTACCCTTGTTGGGAGACTCACCCACCACAGCCAGGTGTGCGACCCGGGTCGACCAACGGATTAGTCAGGGCAAATCCCTGGATACCGTGGCAGGCAACCAAAAAAAAAGATAAACAAAAAAACTCCTCACTAATATGAGGAAACAAGGTAACATTGAAGTTTTTACCTATATCAATCAAGGTGGGATGGTGGGATCATAGTTATTAAACCCAACTCGGGAGGGAACCCGGCGAATAAGGTGGGTCAACGGATTATTGGTTCAACCAATGGGTGAGTGGTTGAACCGGTGGGTCACTAAATATATTTAAATATTATATTTCATAATTTTAAATATAAGATATATGATATAAATTATAATAAATAATGTCATAGCAAATACTCATATAATTTAATTTGCTATAAAATAATTAATTCATATAAGAATCAATAAAATATAAAGTTATTTAGTAATACACCAAATTTTAAGTATAAAATTTTATCTATATTCAGTGTAATTATCTAACTTATTTATAAGTTTTAAGTGCAAAAAATTATTAAAAATAATATTTATCTTTAAAATGAATTATGTAATATGTTATTTTTTAAGTCTATTTTATAACTTATAGAGTTTGGGGGTTATAAATTTTTATTAAAAGATTCCAAATAAATTTGTTTTAGAGAAATAAAAAAAGATAAAATTGAAAAAAGGTTTATATATTATAAGTAAGAAACCTTAGCACAATATTGTGAAGTAGCCTGGTGGTATCCGCGTTGTTGCAATGCCCAGACATCCAATGTTCGAATTTCATCGAAGCCATAAATTTTTTCTCCGAAACCCGGTTCGTAGACAAAATCGGCTTGGTTTTCGGTTTAATCCGGTCGGACCGTTGGTCTGTTGACTAGTCAACGGATTGATTGCTTAAACAATCTAACTCAAAACCAGCCCGGTCCAATGCTCGGTTCACCGGTCTGACCGGTTCGACCGTCGGGCCAGGTCGGGTTTAATAACTATGGGTGGGATAGTAGAAATTGTGGGATTAGTTATGAATCAAAATGGGACAGAAAATGTTTAGTTGAAAGTTGAGACTGGGAAATTTATCAATTAAGAAGAAGACATATGACAAGTTTGGTGACAACTATGAGAGACTAAAGACCAAAGGGGAGACTAGGGTTTTTTTTCCCTATTTGAACTTTGAAACACTACTAATAATTTAAGCACTCTCTAAAAACTACATTAATCAAATCAAATAATAAGGAAACAAGGGAACAAGTAAATAATAAGGAAACAAGGTAACAAGTGTTAGTGAGCAATATTTTTTGTTTATCCCTTATCATGAACACCGTCGTTAACTATAGTTTGCTTTTATCATTAAAATAATTGCTCTTATAATTAAACTAACTGACTGTAGTTAGTTTGCTTACATCATTGAATTAACTGAGGTTTGAAAGGTTTAGAAGGATTAGGATGAGTTAGGTTAGTATGAACACTTGTTAGTTTGCAAGAGAATGAGATAAAAATTGAGGCAGAGAAAGATGGATGATCCATAGCGGGCTAAATTTAGAGGTACAAAAAGTAGCAAAGAAATGTTTATAAAAATTGAGGCAGAGAAAGATGGATGATCCATAGCGGGCTAAATTTAGAGGTACAAAAAGTGGCAAAGAAATGTTTATGCCAAAATTAGGCACAGTGGCTTTAGTATTGTAGCAACTAGTACTAAATGCATAATATTTATGATGAATGAATTTCATATAAAGTTTTCATTGTTAAAGTAGTGTTTGAAACTTATACTATACATATAATATGTTCTTATCTTAATTACTATTTTAGTAATTATAACACTTCACAATATTTTATATAATAGACACAAGAAATGGTATCATGTTTATTGCTAGCCATACACAATCAGTTAATGCTTGAAAGTTATACTTTATATATACTTATCTAGAATTATTATTTAGTACTTATATCACTTTACAATATTTTATACAATAGACATACGAAAGCATATTGTAGCTTTTATTGGTTGCCAACTAGTTAGGGTTTAGTTTTAAACAATTCTTAAAAATTTGCACACGTACATTTGTTAGAGCATTTGCTTTTTAGTAATTATCTTATTTTAGTAACTTCACCACCTATCAATCTATAGTAAATATTCCATTTTAGGAACTTCAGGAACAATTTTTGGCCGTCAATATGGACGCATGACATATAATTATGACTATTATAAGAGAACTTATAACCTAAAGAAAAGAAAACTTATTACTTGAGGAAAAAAACTACTACTTGCATAGCAAGACTTATCATTTACATTTGGTGGCTTGGTACGCTTTCAAAACATATCTATATATTCTTGTATTGAGAAAACTCAAAATCCTAAGTACTTTTTGTGCACCAACACTAAAGGATCTCAAATTAACAAAAGAACAAACGGGTTAATAGTTGCCCTATAAACTTGTTTTCTACTATTAATTTTCAGTTAGGTAATATGAATAGAGGGACCGGGGGAGGACTAGTCCTAGTACTTAGGAAACCCAAATCGAAGAAAAAAGGACTACAGAGTTTCTAAAATAGCTTGTATTTGGACTCTCTTCATTAGTACGAAAATGACATGCCTTATCTTGACGGGTCAGACTCATTCCACATGAAGAATTCACCACATCCCTATGCGATGGACAACCACTTGTAGGAATATTGCTGCCCTCTCCATGTTTAGTCGTCCCATCCCTATAGGAGAGGGAGGAACTTGCCATACAACCACATGTAGGAATACTACTATCCTCTCCATGTCTACCAGCTCCAAAGGGAGAACCTGTCACATCCCTATGGGAAGGGGAGAGACTTGCCATTCAACTTCTTGTAGGACCTGTAGGAATATTGCGGCCCTCTCCATGTCTAACACCCCAGGTAAATTACAAAATGTAATAATAAAAAATTTTTGTAAAATCCATGCCAGTTATTGTCATTGAAGTAATAATCTGTTTTATGTTTAAAACAATACTTATTTGGTGAATCATGAATTTTTGTTGTCCCAGCACCATGAAAAAGAGGTTCCCTGTAACCAAGAATATCCACAAAATCAAAAACAATTTACAATTGATAGTAGCAATTGACAAATGTTGTACGTCTTAGACAAACTACTCAACTGCCAACCTCTTCATCCATTATCATCATCAAAGAAATACCATATCATGCTTGTCAAGTTAATGGTGGTTTTCACAAGAAAAGTCCAATATGTGCAATTGATAGTTTATGTTCCCCTCGTCCCGCCCCAATAATGGTAAAACTGATAGCCTTTGCATTTAAATTTGTTGCAGAAAAAAATAAATAAAAAGTCCATAATAAAATATCAAATGCATATTTAGTGTTAGTTCGCTGGTCGTGCTCAAGATTTTTTTTAAAATTTTTTTTGACAAACCCAATAAGCATGAAAGTAATCCTTCCAAAAGGTCACTTATATATACATACATACATACATATATATATATATAACAAGTCAAATATTATGGAGTAGCTGTCCAAATCCATATGGGATGAACCTGCCGCATGGCCCGCATCTGTCTGTTTATGTGTCTTTCTCCTTCTATACACTTTCAGAGAGGCATCACGTTGGGAAGCTCCATCACCGTAGGTATAGAGGAACTGTATGAGATCAACAAGCATATTAATACTACCATGTAAGCACTTGTTCGCTTTTCATATGTTGAAATAGCTTTGTTATTCAAGTTTTATGATTAAACAACTAACAGGGAAACTTAAAATAATAATAACAATAACAGTCTAATTAATGTTTTGTAGGCATGAAAGTTTAGGAAAAATTGCCACTTTAGTCCTTCAACAATTTAGCTTATGCCAATTTCATCCCTTGATGTTATTTTAGCCTAATTTAGCCCTTCAACTTAAATTTCTTGTCCAATTAGATCCTTTTACGGCGGCACCACCCATCAAACTTTATCCAACACAAAAGACACCACCTAAACAAGGGCAAGAATGGAAGTACAAGTCATGTACTACATTAAAATAAAGAAATCTGAAAACCTTTCATCTAATGAGGTAAAACAAAAATTTTACACTAAATTGGGGAGAAAAATAAAATATCTGTAAAAGAAGATTCCAATTTTCATTTCCATCTGTCACTAGTCAACCAGTCAGTGGCAACTGTTAAATCAATGACGTCTTCTCTGGCAAATTTCTGAAACAAGGACGTCTTGTCTTTGAACTCTTAAATCAATGGTTATTTTCAACTGGACAATCAAGACTTCTCTCTCAATTTGCAAATATTTCTATAGATGAGGCACTGAAATTTTTTCATTTAACTCTCACATATTCTCTGCCAGTATTGATGCATTGTTAATTCCAGAGGATTCATTAATTGGGAAAAAAAACATGTGTGATTGTCGTAAAAGTAGCTCATTTGTGGGATATATTTGCGAGCAGTTTTTTTGCTCAATATGTACTCTACATTGTGTATAGTTCTTTGCTCA